TAGTCCGGTCTCGAGTGATGTTGTTCGTCGCCAAGGCTGCCAAACGAGTGTTGCTTGCTGTGGCACGGCCGGGCAGAATTCGCTTGAGAGCACTCATGGCCACATGCTTCACTGGTGAAAATGATAATCGAGCCTGAGTCTGCTCATGAATGAAGTTTTTTCAACTCTTTTGACACAGCCTTAACCACCGATGAGCACGAGCACGACTGGATAGAGGTCTAGGTGCAGAGACAGAGGATACAAACTAATGGATGGGGAAACAGAGCCAGATGATCGATCACTGTTGAGAATAAATAGTATAAAAAGGAAGAGCATTCAGACTGACACACAGACGGATGCAAATCCGGACGGACGGACGGATGGACGGACGGACGGACGTGAAGACACAGAGCAAGAGATAGCAATCTCACCTTCCCTCCCTGGCCCGGATGAAGCATGCTACTTTTGGCCAGACTCCGCCAACGAAGCCGCTACCATGGTGATTTCGGTCGATCAGTTTACAACTGACATAGTTGTGTCGGATCTCTCGCAGAAATGCCGACATCCCTTGCAACTTTTGTTGCCACCGCCCCAGCCACCGGGCCCTTCGACATCTCAGTTGGGACGCCATTCGAGCGCCTGTAGGGCGGCTAAGCGACGGAAACATGATACACTCGATGCAACCGCGTTCGACCAAGTCACGCAGGCGATGTTGCCACTCCCGTTTCGGTGCCACCCTTCCAGACGGCCAGACTGCTTGCTCTTCTGCCCGGATGGCTCCAACATGACGACCAAATAGCTCCGTCAAGCTGTCCCGATGCCTCTCCGCCCCGTTCCACATGCATTCGGTGAATTTCGACTGGAAGGGAACAACCTCAGATCACATACTCACGCGGCCGGGTGCACCAATGTCCGCCATATACACACACACACACACACACATGCGCTTCGTCCACCCACACCGGCATGTGGGCTGCGCAATGCTGTGTCAGGACGGCCGGCTCCACCCCCATACGTGGGGAAAGCGGTTTGCTGCTTCGGCCGGCCAAGACTGGCCTCAGGCCCGGTGTGAAGCCGACGAAAGAGGAGTCAATCGGGAAAGTTAGTCGCTCCTCATCTCCTCCATACTCGGCCTGTCCTCCTTCCATTCCCATTTATGCTCACTTTGAGAGTACTCCGAAAGGGCAGGCCTGCGCGTCTTGCCTGCAGGCGCAGCGTGCTCGTTACGCGATGATTAAATTTCCCCCCGGGGAGCAAAAACAAGCACTTCTTACGTTGCACTGAGCGCCGAAATGCAGTTGACTCGGCTCGCATTTTTGCTCAGTTTATGACAGAAACACCACCTACCAGCCCGCCCTCAATCCGCACATACATGCACACACATTGCCTGAAATCGTGCATTCAGGATGGCCCTGCGGACCTGCAGGCGCTGGGCCGACGTGGCCCTTGTCAATCCAGTTCAGTCGAGCCAGGCCTCAACTGAAAGCGTCACTTTGACAGGGCCCGAGTGAACGCGACTGAAACGCCGTGGATCGATACTTTTCCTTAATAGTGTCGTATGCAGACCAAAAGGCTTGAGGACTCGTCTGATTGGCTGGGAAGGTAGGAGAGACAATGGGCCGTTCGATGAGATGAACGAGGGAGCGAGAGAAAGTCGTGTGGCCACTTGAACGCGAGAAATTTACTCTTGTTTTGGTCTCGGCTTATCAAATTTGCGTGGTGCGCACGTGAAAAATGTGAGCCATCTCTCTGAGGCTCCAATCGATATGCTGATCTTTGGCAGGCACTGCTCGGCTCGGTTTCGGCTTGGTTTCGGCTGGACTGGGCTTTTTAAACTTGGGATGAGTCATGAGACGAAGGCGGATTACTGGAATGGGCCTAAAAAGTGGGAAAATGCACAACCAATGTTACAAATCAAAATAGGCCACTTTGTTCCATTCATGAACAGATGATTCTTTGAGTTTAGGCATGACGACCAAGATGATGTGGCCTCATTCGGGTCACGTATACGACTGCCTTAAGGTTGTCTAGCTTGTTTGTTGAGCTTACTTCCATTTCGAGTGAAAGTGTTGCGTGAAGAGATTTGAAAGTCGATTCAACCAGGAGACGACGACGTATTGCTTAAAACAACGTTCGGGTCGGCTCG